AAAAAAAAAGAGAGAGAGAGAGAGAGGCAGGGATTCCAGCAGATGGGTGCGCGCGCGCGCCCACACACCGCCCCCAAAAGGAATCTGCAGATTTCTGAGAGTGACGAGCCAAGCAGCTCACACCGTTCTCTGCCTTCTGCTGACCCCCAGGCAGTGAGTGAAAGCAGCTGCAGTCTCCCGAGGTCCCCTGCTGGACAGTGTGCATTGGTGCACCCTCCACTGCCAGGGAATCTGTCTGCTGTCCCACCTGGGGAGGGGACCCAAGAACTGTGCCAGCGTCACAGTCTGCACACCTGCAAGCTGGTGGAATGAAGTTCTGAGACTGGGTTAGGTTCAGTTCTGCTGTGGAAGACTCAGAGGCGACACTCGTGCGGGTGCAGAGAATCCCGCCACGGATGAGACGAGAAGGGAAGGGCGCGAGCAACCACGCCGTCCAGCAGAGAGGTTATGTGTGGCTAAACACTTGTGGGAGTGTTTAAACTGAGTTCTTGTAGGACATCTGTTTTTGCATGTTTCTTCTTTTGCTGTATTGTTTTTGATTCTGTGTGCTCTTTGCCTTTTTTTTTTTTCTACTTGCTGTGATTTAGTTGCTGTCTAGGTTCTTTCCTTTCATCTCCCTATCTAGTTTCTTCATCTCAAGTTCCTGCAGCAATACTAAAATCTTCCTAATTCTTTTCTTTTTTTTGCGGGGGGACCTTGCACTTGTGAGGCGGGCAGTGGCACCACCACTGAGCTAAATCCTTGGCTCTTAATTCTTATTCTCAGAAATAAACTTCTCTCAAGTTATTTATTTATTTGTTTGTTTGTTTGTTTATTTATTTTTGAGACAGGGTCTCATCTCACTACGTAGTTGAGACTGACCTGGAACTCAGTGTGTAGCCCAGGCTGGGCTCGAACTCACAGCGCTCCTCCTGCCTCAGCCTCCCAAGTGCTGGGATTACAGGCGTGCGCCACCACGCCCCATTCTAAAGTTTTTAATTTGCCACACTCTCCTCTAACTCATATACTCTCCTGTATAACCCTATTTCCGCCCATCTTTATTCCCTTGGCTCTCCCTGACCTCACCTAGCCCCTGTCCTTCCACACCTTTTCCACCCTCCACTCATGGTTCTAACGGTCACACAGCTTTTATCCATCTAAAGTACACCTCCCTCCTATATCTCCTCTTCACCCTCACAAGTATTTCTCAGGACCCTCCACACGAACCCTTCATCCCAACTAAAAGTACTCCCACAGACTCCGACTTCATATCATTTTCTTTTCACCTGTCACTGTTGCTCCTACCAGTTTCCCCCTCCAGGCTTATACTCCCTCCTTCACCCCCTTTGGTCTCTTCCCTCCACTTCTCCTACCACACTGCAGAACAACTGCCAACAATAAATGAACACAGTCTACTCAGAGTATTGATAAAGGGTGAAAGTGTAAATGCAGAGTCTATCTTATACAGTGATGTGTGATCAGATTTGTCGATATTGTTATAGCCAGAAGTAATTCTGCAAGGCAGAGAGACAGACAGAATTCAAATTGCTTAAATAAATGAAGGGGTAAATACTGTCTCTGGATGTATAAAGCTAAAAAGACATCATGGGGAGGCAGTATATTCCTAGAAATCATATACTGCCAGCCATGGTGGCGCACGCCTGTAATCCCAGCACTGAGGAGGCTGAGGCAAGAGGATCGCTGCGAGTTGGAGGCCAGCCTGGGCTACATAGAGAGTTCAGGGCCAACCTGAGCTACAAAAGGGAGACCCTACCTCAAAAAAAAAAATCTTTATATAAACTACCAGCACTCCTCATCTTAGTAGACCTCAACCCACAGTACTTCCTCAAAAAATAAATAAGGAAAAATAAAAACCGTATAAACACACACATAATATCATGGGAAAGCAAGGCAAAAGAAGACCAGCAAGGTCTCCCAAGTATTCTAGGGCAGATCAAGGTGGCACAAATGGATAGGGAAGTAAGTACCAGGTAGTGGAGCTTTATGAAAGTTTGGGTAAGAGATGGAGAAGGCAGCAGTTTCAAAGAGGAAGAACCCCAGAGTGTATGGAATGATCACTCAAAATGCCAGTGTGGATTTGGGATAAACAAAAAGTTGGAGGAGCTGACCAAAACAGTTCAAAACATGAAAGACAAATTCACCAAATCTATAGGATCCATGAAAAGGTGTCAGAAACACCTGAAATAAAAATGTGTAGAATTCATAAATAGCAGAAATGCCAGTGTGAAGACAGAACGCCTGAAATTGAGGACAAAATAATAAATATTACGAAGTACTTAGAGAAGCCACACACACACACACACACACACACACACGCACGCGCACACACACACACACACACACATATGCACAGAGAACAAACAACAAAAGCATCTAACAGCTACTAGATGACACTAGGAAGACCGACCTAAGGCTAACTGAACTTATTGAAAAGCTAGGACATAACAAAAGATGGAATTATTAGTGTTTACATAAATCATAATAGAAAATTTCCCAAATAGGACAAAAGAGTTCAACACATAAATGAGGCTTCCAGAACACAACTGTGATGAAAAAAGCTCACCAAGATGTCATTATTATTATTTTTTTTTTTTGGTACCTGGGATTGAACTTGGGTCCTTGCGCTTGCAAGGTAGGCCACCAAACCACTGAGCTAAATCCCCAGCCCAAGATGTCATTATTAAATTATCAGATATTTTGGGAGGTGTTTTTGAGACAGAGCCTCACTATGTAGTTGAGACTGACCTGGAACTCACCGTGTAGCCCAGGTTGGTCTCAAACTCACAGCAATCCTCTTGCCTCAGCCTCCCGAGTGCTGGGATTACAGGTGTGCGCCACCACGCCTGGCTTTTTTTTTTTAGACAGCTTCTCACTATGTAGTTCAGGCTGGGCCTGAACTCACAGTGATCCTAAAAGTGATCCTCCTGCCTCTGCTTCCTGAATACTGGATTACCGACCGGTAACACACAACCATACCTGGTTGAATTACCAGATGTTTAACAAAAAACCTAGAATTTTATTTATTTTTTGGAAAAGCATAAAATTTATCTCTGCAGAAAGGCATGAGTGTACTCAGATATGAAGCTGCAGGAGGTTTTGTTTTTTTTCTTTGGAA